GGGTTCATTTCTCCCTTTAGTCTTTTCTTACCACACAATGACAAACAGTCCACAGAGTCCTCTAAGGAAAGCTGTTTTCCAATGACCCAGTCAAGTCTCATCACAGACTCATTCCTGATCGCATGTATCTGAAAAGAGATTGTTGATAAGATTATCTTTAATTGGACAGAATGTGTGTCCTCAGTCAGTGGAACACAAGGATGGCCTCTTTACAAAACTTCAAACACAGGTGTCTCTCAATGAATGACAAAGGCTGCGCTTTTCTCAGTCTTAGAATTATGGATATTTTTCTCCAACAAAACATGCATTTAACTGTTTAATTTCTCCATATCTGCTTTAATGTGAAGCTTAGTGCCTGGTAAAAAGATGATATGAATAGCTGACGTGATTATAGACTTTGGAGGTGATTACATCCCATACAATGTACAAAATGTCTCCTCTCACACCAAACAATGGGCACGTTATGCAGGCAGAATCCAGCAGTTAGGTTCCTCACATTTACCTTTTAAAACAGGAAACTACAGTCAGAGTAACGGGGGCATTCAGGCAGAAAAGGCCGACTGTGACAACTTGGAATATTGTGCCGCGTTCGTGCTGACGTACATTCTCCAGAAACAGTCTTGGCCCTGCTGAGGAGAGTCATAATTCTTTTACTGTACTGTGCTATGGATACTGCTGCTAGTACACTGTCCCCTATACCCATAAGTAAGCAATACCACAACCCTGAACAGACAGTGTGGCAGTTTTACAGTCTCCATTAGTATGGCCTCTTTCCCCGTATCTCTCTCTGTTTCTCTCTCTCTCCCTCTCTTTATCTCTCCCTCTCTCTTTCTTCCTTTCCCTCTCTCTCCAGCCGCCAATACCTCCACACTCTACTTCTGACATACTCTCCCCGTGAGCCAAGCCTTTCAATTTAGATTTCAATTATCATGTTAGTTTTGTGATTAGACTTTGTCCTCCAGGAATCAGACCTCTCTGCTCCTCTCTTTTCCCCTCTTCCCCTGCAATCAGATCCCATCTGATGAATGGCGCATATAATTACGGAAGTTATTGAATATGCAGATCGCTGCTTACTCTTGGTGGGCTGTTCATAATGCATTAACTCTAACTGTATGAAACAAGGGTCCCTGGTAAAGAGCCACTTCAGTAAGGCTAGCCTGCTGCACTTCACTGTGGAGGCAGTGGGCCCAGCACAACCAGGGCTCCCACTCCCACAGCATGGAGCTCTCTCTACTAGCCAGCCACGCCAACACACAGACACACACAGGCAGGGTGTTTATGAATCATTCAACATGAGGTATTTTCCCCCGGCCTGGCAGGCCCACGGTCTTACTGTATGTGACTACTATGGGCTCACGCCCTGCCCTGCCGTGATGCAATCCCTGAGTGGCTCTGAGTGGAGGAGAGGAGAGACAGCCACTTCACAGGGCCTAACTGACTGCCACAGTGGAAAGGGGAAGTGGGACATTTTGACAGATTCAGAGAAAGCTTTTAGAGATGTCTCCTCTGCAGACCCTTTACTGTGTGGAGTTATTGACAGAGGTACAGATGGGCCCCTAAGCCACAGCACATGATCTCTCCCACTCTCCCAGAATGTAATCTTCTCCTGACGTTCTTAGATGTTCAATTCTGTAATGTGGTTCATTTCGTGATACGCATTACACAGGTAGTCAGAGACAGAAAGAGACAAACAGATCTAGAGAGACACTCTGTTCCGTGCCGAGTCTAGTTAAGTGATGGGCCAAGCATGAGTCTACCTTATTCATTATTCAGGAGTTAGCTAACTTTCTCCTTGCTTTGACGTTCATTTGTTTTTCACATTAAGCCTGAGGCAAAGCCGTTCTGATTTAGTGTTTGGCTCCTGTTGTATTTAATTCAGGAACACCATTCCTAAAAACCACAGCCCCCCTTTATTTTTAGCTTGTGAGCTGTACCTGCCATTTATAGCTGGCTGGCCCGTTCGTAGACTGACTGACTGGCTGGCTGACTGACTGATACTCTGCTGATGTCTTACAGGGGATTTGTACATTACACTGCAGGAGCCTTGGGAGGCCCTCCCACAGAACAAAGTTAAAGACACACACCGCGTGCACCACACACGCACATACACACACGCACATACACACACGCACATACACACACGCACATACACACACGCACATACACACACACACATACACACACGCACATACACACACGCACATACACACACGCACATACACACACGCATATACACACACGCAGCCACACATACACGCCTCATACGCAGCATTTCTACACATTCAGCTGTAGTTGTACACGTAGTTACAGTAGCATATATACAGTATATCTAACTGCACAGTGTGAAGGCAACATGTGCATTTATAATAGATGAAGGAAGTGGACAGATCTGTGCGTCCTCTCCTATTCATTGTGTCTGTACAAAGCAGCCCTCTAGTCTAGGACAGTCTATGTCTCCTGACACGCGTTGGCTCCTCACTCTCCTACAGTTCTATCGGCTTAAATGGCTGCCTGTTAAATATTTACCCTGACATGGTCTCTCCGCTCCACTCACTGTTGAGCTGACTGACACCCGTAGGACGTTATGCTTTCATATCGCTCAATACAATGTGTTGTTCATTGTTTTAAAATGGCTGCACAATCATGAGTATTGCGAGACCATACAATACAGTACCCGGAGAGGTTATTTTCATGGCTTTGTTCAGCCTGTGAACAGACAAATGAATAGTTACTGAATGCTAACTGAATAGTTATTAATGCTTTTACATTATAGAAATATCTAAATGTCTCATTTTGTGATGACACATTTCCTCATCACAGGAAACTTTTTTTATTTTGTATAATCTGTGGAACGACCCACTGATTTCAAATTAGTATAATCTATCATTTTTATGTAAATAAATGTGCTGTTCTCTTCAAATATATATTCATATTGTACCCATAATATTAATATTCTGTTTTTAAGAAGAGAGGACACAAACTAAGCCATCCCCCCAGCTCCAGTATAAAGATAATTGATGAGCTCTAATAATGTATTCCAGTCCTCATTTGTCTGTTTGTGGCCTGCAGCCTTGCTCATTGCTACTGTCATAAACCTGTGAGAAACTCAGTGTACTATCACACTGTACACTATGACACACACACACACACACACACACACACACACACACACACACACACACACACACACACACACACACTAGCTTTTACTTTGGCATTGTGAAATCCAATCCATATTGAACCAGTATGTCATGCAATTAATAATGCAGGATATTTACAGTGTAGAGATCAACTGAGATGCCAACAGTACTTTCTCTCTCTGAACATCAGTCACTTCAGCGTTCACTTAATACTGTAGATACCTACTGGAATGGATAAAGAGAAATGCCATTCTAATGTCTATTATTGCATTGTCCAGTGTCCTGTCTACAGGACAGACAAAGAGAGAGATGTGGAGTCATGGCTGTGTCTGTATCTGTTTCTCTGTCATGGCTGACTGTGGTATTTAAGACTCAGAGACGGCTTTCGCACACGGACCTGTGGCCACTGTAGCCGGCTCCATGTATATTATTAAGTTAATAGGATTGTACATGTTTACACCAACTGTTATCTCAACGGGAGGTCAGGGAGGTGACTTACACTGGTGTAATGGGCTTACTGACGGGCTCAAATAGCATTGTAGTGGCCCACTAACACACACACACACACACACACACATTCTCACAGTCACACCAATAGCTAGGCTGGAGTGACCTGTTAGAGGAGAAACAGCTGTAGGGCATGGGTTTGCAGCGTGGCATGGACTCTGCGTTTTCACCTCTCTCCTAACTGGTGTGTTGCGACAGACAGACGACCTTTGTCAAGTCCCAGCTATTGTTTGCAGATTGGTTGCACACTCCACAGGCTGTGAAAGACACATCTGCTACCTTGAGCCTAGTGAGCGAAGGACAGATAGAGGGCGGGGCGGAGGGTGGGGGGTAGGGGGCAGCGGAGTGCAGGGCGATGGGAGTTGGGGGAATGATGGTCGCTTATCCTCTTACAGCTCAGCTACAATCACTATCCACTATTTGTCTGGCCTTCACCAGATATTAGCCTTTTTCTGTTTGCTGCTTATTTAAGTCTATTTGATAGACAGTATTTCCAAAGACCACGGCTCGGTCTTCTGTTTTTGTTTGTTGCATGATATACTTTTACTGTCTCTCTCTCTCTCTCTGTGTGTTTTAGGATGTTGACTTTTCAGTGGATTTTGTCCCCCAGCTTTCCTTTTACAGTAGCTAGTCTTTTAAACATTTGTTTGTAAGAGATGTAGTAAGACATGCAGACTACTACATTTCCCTATTAATTGCCATGGCACAGCAGGACACACCAGATTGCTATTTTAATGATGTTCAAAAAAATGTTTAAAGTGTTGTTAGGAACTGCAACTTTGTGTCATTATGTGGTCAGTCACAGTAGGGATCGTTGTTTGGTAATAAAGCAGTGTAAATGTGTGAAATGTTGAGTCAGTCTTTTAGACAACCCCCTTCAGACATTAAAACCCCAGCTATAAAACCATATTTGTTTAATATGTTTTTGATTGATTCAGTGATTGAGATCTAAAGGGTGGTCATAAACGTACTGGGACAAAGGGCCTCTTTGTGCAGAGTGGAGCCGTCTGAAATGGAGGAGTAGTTTGAGATTACCCGATTATTTCCTACTGACCCAGTGAGTGAGCCCTCACAGTGTAGTGAGTCTGAGGCTGAGCTGAGCGTAATGAATGTGGTTAGCAGGGAACCACAACAGAGCCGGGGAGCCAGGCAGAGGCTGCCTGAGAGGCTGCCTGGGAACCAGAGGGACGTGGCCACCGGCCAGACACAGACACAAACCCCTGGCTCACACTTGTGGTTTTTTAAGAAAGCAATTTAGTTAATGATTTCATTCTGAAAGCCTGTCATGATGCATGCATGGTCTGCGTCTGCCAGGAAAGAAGAGAAACCTCTCCCACCAAGGTGTTAGTCAACATGACTGCCTCTGACTACCAGAAAGTACCAGAGGCCTGGGGCTGTGATGGAGATAGTGAGAGGGGAATAAAGGCCCCATTTCCCCCATCAAAACCTACTCACTGCTGACCAGGGAGAAAGAACTCTTATTATCTGTTTTTCCTAGGTAATAGATTGCAGTGAGTTTATCATTTGCGGTGATATTTATATTTCGACAGATGCCTACCATGTCTTTTTATCTGGCCTCTTGACAAATAGATGAATGCAGTGTGAGTTTGAGCGGTGGTCAGACACATGGTTAACAGCCCACTGGTGAGACATTTTCTGTATCAGTCAGCGGCTAATCCAGTACAGCGCCTGTTCTCTCAGACTGGATATACTGCACATTTTTCTCTTCAACCATGTCTGTCAGCTCCCTGATTTTATTAGGCTATGTTTCACATTCAGTTATAGTGGTTTTCTCCGTGCCGCTTTGTGAGTGAAGCATTGCTGAAACAGGGGCCGTACATGTCTCCTGTGAACCAAATTTTTGGCGCAATTACTCAGATCAATGGCAGGTGGTTCTGGTTTGGCTCCTCAGATCTCGCTTCTCCTTGCAGCCTCTTTTTCTCTGTATGGGCTGTCAATCAGCAGGATAACTTTTAACCACCTCCAAACAGAGCTGGCTGCCAAGCATTTATTTAGCCACTCACTTTTATTCGGCCCTCCCGTCCGACCTGTCACAGCGTTACACACTGTTGACCATGCTTTCTATTCAACAAGGGCAAATTAATTGGTTTCAGTGGTTTAAATCGGCAATCAATGTCAGTTTCCCAACATAATAAGGCTTAATCATAAATCTGTGAGGTGTGGCCTGCCTGACCTCTATTCATCAGTCCCTTTTACATGGTCTCATCTGGGTGGAGCAAATGAACTACCCCTGTTTTGATTTTCCGATTGACGTGTCACATGAAACGTTGCCACTCTCAGAATATGGCCCTTTCCCTCCCTCCGTCGCTCCCTCCCTCTCTTTATCCCAGGCATCAGTTTCTCACCCTCCCTCAGTCCCTCAGAGAACATACAAGGCACTAAGATAGAGAGAAATGTCCAGTGTGACAAAGGTGGACACATTTGTGTGCCTTGTTTGCGCGCCCAATGAATTCTTTCAATTCATGAGTGAGTGAGAGAAAGACAGCGAAAGAAAGAATGAAAGAAAACAAATCCCCAAAGAATTAGGGGTGGGACTAACTGTAACTAATGAGCTGTTATCCGGCCAATCCCTAGAATAGAGCCGCTTAATCAAAGCAGCGTTGAAGGTAATTTCCTAATTTCCACCCCCCCCCCCTACAGAAATCCATTTATGAGATGAGAATGAAAGAGAACAAAACTGCTATTCTTTTCATTAGATGCTGTACATTTTCCAATTTGGTTGACCAGCGCTGGCGAAGCATCCTATTTTTGGAAAATAAAATAATTAGGATAGTCGCGGAGAAAGCGGGCCACTGTGTGCCGACATTCCAGATGTCCAAACGGCAGTTGGACCAACCAAACTTTTCTGGGCAACGGCTGCCAATGATGACCTCATAAGGAGCAGGCCAAAGACTGAGGCCCACAGTTCTCCTGCCATGCAGAAGAATACCCCCCCCCCCCCTTTCATAATCCATTCTGTGTCTCCAGTGTCCCTCTCTTTTCCTGTCCCCCTGCAAAATTATTCCTTCATAATTAGCCATTGTTCCTGCTCTTTTGGCGCGGCTCTCTTCGTTTTTTCAGGGCCCCCTTTTCTCTCCTCCCCCCTTCTCTTCTCTCCTCCCCCCTTCTCTTCTCTCCTCCCCCCTCTGTCCCCTATATACTCATTGTGTATCTCTAGGAAACTTGTGATGCCTGGTAGCCCCCCCAGCCCACTTGTTTGGCACCCCCAGCCCTCTCCACAGCTCTCTGCACTGTGGACTGTGGGAGATGTTACACTTGGTTTGTTCAATCTGAACTCTTTGCTCTAAACTCTCAAGTGCATAGAAGTTATCTTTATAAATGACAGAAAGGACCTGGCCTGAATGGCGCTTTGTTGACTGTTTTCCTAATAGGGCCCCCCACTATATTTCATCTGTCAGTCGCTTTTCTTTACTCCAACAATGCTTGATTGTTTCCATGAAAACTTCAGGTTCCACAGACAGGAGAATTCTGTATTATTATGTTCCTGCCAAATTCCGATCTCTGTTTTCCTTCCCCTGCACTCACAAAGGGCTCATAACTTACTGTCAACTGGGAGGGGAGCCACAAAGCTCCACTGTTGCTCAGCAAATAGCCTGTGTTGGTTGATGGCTTGACTGGCTGTAAGTTTGCTTAACTGCAGTGGCAGTGACAGAAGGCACTTTGGGAACTGCATCCCCCAGAAGGCCCAGACCTCTACACGTTGTTCAGAGAGAGAGAGAGAGCAGGGGAGTGTAAGAGAGAGACAGAGAAAGAGAGGGAAGGAAAAAACAAGTAGCTTTTCTTGCCTCTCAATCTCTTTAGCGTCAGGCAGCTGGCTGGACGAGAGAGTGGTAGTGCTGAAGTGTGCAGTAGTTCTGGTGCTGTTCTTTAGTGTGGGTGCTGCTCCTATGTGTGCTGCTCCTGGCTGTCCTCTAGTTCTGTCGTCTAGCTCTGTCCTTTACTTCTCCTCCTCGTGGATGCCTTCTGAGACAGAGTACTGTGGAACAGACGGGAAAAGGACTGCACTGGACGTCTTGGCCTGTCAGCGAGTGTTCGTGAGTGTGTGTGGTTGTGTATGTGAGAGGTGTGTGTGTGTGTGTGAGAGAGTGTGTGTCTGTGAGAGAGAGAGAGAGAGAGAGAGAGAAGAGAGAGAGAGAGAGAGAGAGAGGAGAGAGAGAGAGAGAGAGAGAGAGAGAGAGAGAGAGAGAGAGAGAGGAGAGAGAGAGAGAGAGAGAGAGAGAGAGAGAGAGAGAGAGAGAGAGAGAGAGAGTGTGTGTGTGTGTACCCCTCCAGCTCCTGGTGAACTTAGGAGGTGTTATGCCATCCAGCGCTGAAGTTGTCTCTCTTGGATCGGGGAGGAGGGCCAGCGGCGGAGGGGGCCGTTGGTGGAGACGAGCGGCTCAGTTTGTGAGTGTGTGCTCCTCGACCCTCACTGGGTAGACAGACAGACAGACAGAGCCACTTCAGCGCACTCACACCTGCATCAGCCTCTGTTATCAGGCTCTGCCTAGCGGCTAGCAAGGGGGGGGGGGCAGGACACCAGCCAGGCTGTCTAACTAATCCAGCTGCACAAGTGTTTAAAGTGAGACGCAAGACGGCTCCTCCAACAGGATATTATTGCAAATAATTTACTGTGCAAAGTAATTATCGATGCTCTGCTCAATATCTAAAGTGTGCACTTGAGGAGGCTTGCTTAATTTGCTCTGGGTGGCTATCTTTTTGAGTGTGGGTTTTAGACGTAGTAACTACGGCGGTTTCTAATAGCGAAAGCATCAGGAGAGAGAGTGAAGTGGGGATGAAGTGCTTGTGTAATTGAGTTGACTTTTTGAAGGGGGAAGGTCAACATTTATAGAGGAACAATTTAAACACATTCATTTGGACAACTCTCTCCAACTACCTTGTTAGGGTGTATGTATTTCCTCAGCCATTTGCCATATTTTTATATCATTACCCATAATTACTTCGTCCACTTGAATTTTTGTCCTTGGAATACATTTTTATATTATTGTCTGAAATAGATATCATAGAAGTGAGATGTTCATTTTACTTTTTAATTTTAACATCTCTATATTTTTTAATTTTCCTGAAAAAAAGCTATAATGTCTGACGGAGCCATTCATTTGTAGAATCCACAAAATCTAAATAGTGTAAAATAAATCTGATTATCATAAATAAACTATGAAATAGACTTCAAAAATAATATGAGTTCACATCTAATCGTCCTTATAGATGAGTTTATGTTCAGATATTGCAACCATTTTAGTTCCTCTCCATCGATTTCTTGTTTACTGGGTCTCATAGGTAGTGTTAGCTGCTGTGGAATGTGTGTGTGTGTGTGTGTGTGTATGTGTGTGTGTGTTTGTGTGTGTGTGTGTGTGTGCACGCTTTATATAGAGAGTGAAGGCGAGAGGTAGAAGCTGAATCATTATTATATGTTTATGTATGGGGGGCCAGGCTCATCTGAGACACAGTCACAATGGAAGGTGATCATTAATTATGCTAAACGGCAGTGAGTGTGTCAGTAATTTTCCAGCTGGGAGCTGTCAGGTAGAAATATCTTATTATGCCAGGTGAAGACCCTGTGGATCCCTGCTATGTCACCTGGGACAACAGGGAGGAAATAGGAGGTTACATAGACCTCTAGAGGAAGACAGAAAAGTATCTCTTTACACATTGTTGTGAAATCAAAATACTTTACAGTTCCACCTTTGTATCACTTTTGAGGTTGTCTGTCTTTGGAAAATCAATATTTCTGATGTATTTGTTATATTTTCCCATTGTACGTTGTACATAATAACTTCCATAGATAGACAATATTGAATGTCTATTGAAAGGAAATTCAATAGATATTTTCAAATGTAAAGAAATATGGCCTTGAATCCTCAAATGAGTTAGATTTCTTTTATTTTTATGTATTGTAGATTGCTTAAACTAAGTTGAATACTAGAACTTATATGAACTCTTTCTCTCTCCCACTATGTGTGTGAGCTTGTGATCTGGAGTAAAGCCTGTATCTTCTTTGTGTAGACAGTGTAGCAGCTCTGACAATGTTCTCACAGTGCCTTCACCAGCATGGTGTGTAATGCATTTACTCCCTTAGAATGACATTTCATAAGGTGCACCAAATGGTTCTTGTGCTGGCCTGCGATAACTGCTCGTATTTACATTTTTGTTTTCCATTGTTAGTATGGTGTAATATTTGTGTAATATATATTTAACCTAATATCTATGTTCCAGTCGATGTTGTCTAAAGACATCATGCTGTAATTTTCTTTTGAGATGTTCACACAATTTTCAGTTTCCTTTGTTTTAAAATAACTTTAGATTTTTCTTTAGAAAAAGTCAAAAGATTCCATTAAGGAATATTTCCCCAAATCATTATCATTTATACCTTTTATTTTCTGCATTTTGGTGTGTGTGTGTGTGTGTGTGTGTGTGTGTGTGTGTGTGTGTATGCATGTATGTATGTGTGTATGTGTGTGTGTGTATGCCTGCACATCGTTACCCATGGAAACTTGAAGCTCTGTCATAAAGCAGCTTTTGCCATATCCAGCTTTCCCATCGTTATGTCCTAAAACAATGGCCCTCTTGTTTTAACAACTTATTTGATTATTTCTCTAAAACATTTTGGGTGGTGGTGTCTGAGGGAAAGGGGGCTAATATTTTCCTCCTGAAGTGACCTGTGATTAAGGCTGGGAGAAGAGGGAAGGGGCGTGGGGGTTGTGGGGCACGAGGGGGGGGGGGGGGGGGGCTGGTGTGGAGTTACTTATCACCATTGTCTATAAAAGGTCAGCAGTGTGAAAGAGCAGAGACAGCGGGCTGAAAGTCAGAGCTTGTTACGACAGAGGAAGAAATGGGATAGCCACAGACACACGGCCCCAGTCATAAGACCTAGGGTCCTCTAATGCTAACCAATTAAACAGAGGTTGTTGCGTGATGAAACATTATCAGTGGCAACAATTCATGACTCAAAGCATTCCAGGCCATATGAGCCTTCACTGTGGGCAGGATTGTCAGCTATATATAGGCCCTTTTCTCCTTCTTTCCTCTGCAAAGTCACTGGGGCGTTGGCTGGGAGAAGACAGGCAACATTTCATGCACTTATTGATTAGCTTGGTTTGTTAGCTGTCCATTGTTATTGTGTAATCAAGCATGAAGGGAGACGGCTTGTCAAGAATTCACGCCAGAGAGGCCTCTTCAGTTTGCCATATTCTCACTGCTCAATATACACAAAGGCACATATTGGGCTTATTTACTAGAGAAACACATTAAATTATTGATAAGAGTAAAGGAATTGCAGCAGCGCAGAAGCAATGTACAAACGGGTTGTTTTGTTGAGCCTTTTTTATGAGTGTCTTACCAGAGCCTTGGATACGCTGTTATTCAATGTTTCACATTCACCACTGTCGACCTGGACCCCAGTTGCTCTCCTACTCTATAAAACACCTTATGTTTTATTGTTTAATTCAAACAATTCTGCAATCAAACGCTCACGTTGTGTACCATTATATCCCAGCATATGCTTTGGGGACTATATAATGTACATATTGTTGCCTTCTGACATTTTCTGAGACTTATTGCAATATCCCTCCCTCCCTCTCCCTTCAATAATGAGAGCTGGTATTGTATAGGGCCTCTGAGAGGTTGGGGGGTGGGGCACCCTCGCTCTGTGCTCTCTTTAGCTGAGCGTAGCCCTCCCAGCTCTGCTAATAAATTATTAACTCCCACTGACAAATACTGTTACGGAGCCTGCCGCAGATCTGTTGCATTTTCTAACAAGATTGCTGTAGACACATGTTACAGGAGGATGGAGTCAGCCCTGTTCACTCTCTCTCTCTCACGCCTCAGCAGCTTGACTGATGGCTGGAGACCGGGGTAAAAGTGCCTGAGAGACTGAATATTTTAGTGGTAAAATAATACCACTTGATTTACTGTGTCATACAAAAGAAGTGCTTTGTTTCACTCTCACACTCCATTGAAGACGGGAGCTTGTTGTGTTGGAGGCCCGGGCTTTTTGGATGCATGAATACAAAATGTGGCGGAATCTCCTAACTCCACCCCTCTCCCCTCCCCTTCTCAAACCCCTCTCCACCCCCATCTTCCTCCCAGCACACCATCACTCTCAACATGCATGTTCTGAACTTTGCTCTGAATTAAAATGTTCAATTAACACTCAATTTCGAGATCATTTTCTATTTGATATAATTACAGGAAACAATTTATTGTCTGATTAAAATTGAGGGCTGGGTCTCTCTAAAGAAAACAGTAGACAACACAGGCCGGTCAGAGAGAGTGTGAGGCTCCTTCCCTCCCAGCGTTACGGTACCTGACAGACTGGCCGTGTTGACACAGCTGCTGGGGCCTGGGTGATTAACGTGGCCTGCCATTTTCCCATTTTCACCCTAACCACCACCAAAAATACTGATCTATAACTACGTGCCTCTGTGTATGCGTGTGTGTGTGTTTAGGTGTGTGTGTGTGTGTGTGTGTGTGTGTGTGTGCGCGTGTGTGTGTGTGTGTGCCTGCCTATAAGAGTTGGATGTCCTAATACGTATATGTGTTTTCAACACTCTTTATTGTAATGCCTTGTGAAATACAGTAATGTGCTGGCTCTGAACTCACTTAATGAACTGTATTTAACAATTCACATTGAGAGTGCCAGTCTGCTCGGCTGTTCAGCGGCGTGTGTAAAAGGATGGCACGCCTTCAAATGAACTAGTCATTCTTTAGTGGAGCTGAGGCTGCTGAGTGCTATCGGGCCTGACAGCGGCATGCGATGTGCACAATCTTCACGTACAGGGAGTGTGGACGCACGCAGGCGCTTGATCTGATTTATTCTAACACCAAACTGTGTGTTAATCTCTCCCTGTGTCACATTTGTTTTGATCCCTCTGTGAACCCCATGCCATACATTTGGCAGAGCCTGGTGAGTTACGGTGGAGTTGGCTGCGGTGTGGGTTAACTGACTCCATAACCTCACCTTCCTCTCCTCTGTCTGTCTGTCTGTCTGTCTGTCTGTCTGTCTGTCTGTCTGTCTGTCTGTCTGTCTGTCTGTCTGTCTGTCTGTCTGTCTGTCTGTCTGTCTGTCTGTCTGTCTGTCTGTCTGTCTGTCTGTCTGTCTGTCTGTCTGTCTGTCTGTCTGTCTGTCTGTCTGTCTGTCTGTCTCATGGTCCTCCTAGCAGGTAGCACAAGGACACGATCACACCACAGCCCTTGACCTAGAATACCCACCTCTCTGTCTCCTTCCTCCAGCCTGTAGCCTAGCTAATGGGACGGCAAAACCTCCGTCACAGTGACCCTGTGGAAGAGAGGAGAATGGGCCAGATTTCTCACACCCTGAGCTCCCCTCCCTGTCTCCCCCTGTCTCCCCTGTCTCCCCTATCTTCCCCTGCCCCTCCCTGCCTCTCTCTGGCATAGAAGATGCTACAGCAGAGATTAGACTTAGACTTGAGGCTCACATGCTGTTTTCATTGTTAAATACCCAGCAGATTAGAAAGAGAGGCAGACCAGGGCAATAGGGAAAAGAGGATTACCAGTAAATATGGACTGGTTCCTTTTCCCCACTTCAGATCAGCAGGAATGCCATAATATTCTCTTATTAATACCAATCGCATAATTAGATTTGCTGGCACTGTATTCATTTTATTCATTGTAAGAACAACAGAAAACACTGTTTAAATTGGTATTAACATTTGTTTTCTTTGCACCTGATATGTCAAGTGCACTCTTCACTGTAATATTCATGAAAGCGTGTGACAGATTTGTAATTTCTGTCTTCCACTGCCAGGATCTGATTTCCAAGCAGCTTAAGTAGGATTTATTGGCCTGGAGAAATAGTGTAGCACTGAAAAGTTAATCGTTTGCTAATTTGAAGACTGGAAGTGAAAAAGGCAGCAGCTTGGGGTTGGTGTTGTGTTTGGTGGCAGGTTCTGTTAATTAAGAAGAGGACAAGCACATTACTTTTACTCGTCATCGCCTTATAATTGTTTATCATAATCAAACAAAAGCGGTTTAAGGCATTATCTGAATTTGGAGTGATAGTGCGTAGTGTTGTCATGTTTACCTTTATGTAGGGTCATTATTGACTGGGGCTTGACTGGGACACTTTATCTGTGGCTGTGTTAGAGCTTTAATGAGAACGTGTTATGTGGTATAGTAACCCTCTTAACGGCCTAATCATTGGCTGGGTGGAGGGAGGTTTGGGCCTGGCCCAGACACAGGCACCGCTCCAGCCTCATCTCCAGCCTCATCTCCACCATTTACATTAAACAAAGGATTAGGAGAAGCCCCATGGCCTGCTCTCACACCACATGACCATTGATAGGATCTCTCCAACTTTGACTCAGGTCCAACATTGTTTTTCAGGTGTGGGTTGATGTGAGGATGGTGAAACATCCAGCAAACCTGTCGTAAATACATTTTGACGTCAGCTGTTTTGTCGTCCCAGTGTCATAAAACTGTCTGACGTTTGACTATGTGGCTTTCAAGTTTTCTGACCGGTCGTCCTGTTCCCTTTATCTCTTCCACAGCAGAATAATGTCTTCCAAGCAAGCCACCTCTCCGTTTGCCTCCGTCACCGATGGGGAGGAAGCCATGAGTCAGGACCACCTGTCCTGGGATAAGGAGGAGAGTGCCGAGGCCCACGGGACACCCCAGCTGCCCCTGCACAGCCTGCTCCACAGCAAGGGCTCCATGGACGAACTGCAGCCCCTCAGCAGTGTCCCTCCAGAGAGTGACTGGGACAGCATGGTGTCAGCCCAGCAGCGCATGGTGAGAGACACCACCCTGTAGACCAGTAGACCAGTTGACTAGTAGACATATTACATTTGCTAAAAAATACAAAAAAAATACAAACCAATTATTTTTGTTCCTAGAAAACATACATCCCATAGAAAGAAGAATCATATGTCTTAGCAGTTTTTTCCCCGGATCTATCTGATATAGGACCTATAGCTAGCTACCTTACTGCTGCAATATCCTCAGTGTCAATATCCATTTACTGTAGGTGACAGGCAAGCCATCAGAAGGTTTCAGGGGGTACCGTATTATTGTCTCTGTACAACGTTGTCAGGGGTGAGGTAGATTCCAGACAATGTTCTGTATTTTCCGTTGGTGACCTTCACCATTAATGACTTTCACCACTGTCTAGCCTCTGAATGTGAGTAAGCCTCACACACACACACACACACACACACACACACACAAAACTGTCTTGTCACTGTGCCCTAGCAGAGAGGAATTTCTCCCACAAGGACACGGTCACAACAGAGCCCTCTGAACAATTTCAGTGAAGACTTAAGACCATGCGTTCTGCCAAGCACTTGTCTTTGAAGTCTAAGCCCTCACAAGTGTCTTGAGATCCTCCCCACTCTAAAAGAAGAGGACAACAACGTATTGAATTGCATTTTAATGTCACACACAGATTTGATGAAACTATAAATATGGAGACAATACGACAGTGGAACAAAGTCTCTGAGAGGGTATCTGTTCTAGAGGGCCTGCCTGGGCCCCTCAGCCCCCCTATCCGCCTGACTCCCTCACTGGAGGCTCTCTCTGGACCAGGATGCACTGGGGCCAAGATACAGGCTCAACAGCCACCCATTGTTCTGTGCTTGTAAAAGGGAACTCTTCACATGCCCAGCCCCTCCCTCCTCCTCCCAGCCATGGGTACTGTCTCTAATACTGTGAAGCCGTAGGGATCCTGGGACCCTCAGATAGGCAGCACCAAACCAACTATAATCAACTATAGGTTATTATTAGTCTGAACAGGCCCAGTGATTTTCAACAGTAAAACGTATAGTTCAGTACACAGCATCCCAATAGAAATGCATACCACAGTATGACAAAGGAAGACAGAACGGAATGTTGCTACGCTTCTTCTTCGGCGGCTGCATTATTTTTGTCATCAAAGAAACATCTCCCACAATATGTGTTGTTGTGTACATCTGCAGCAGGCCCCAGACAATCTGTGGAGCTGCTTTGATGTGTGCGGAGGAGAGAAGAGCAGAGGCACTTGTGGGCTGTAGCCGGGGAGGCAGGTGGTTGTTTGTGACAGACGGGCCTGCAGTAAAGAGACCCAGAGGGGCTCTGAAGTAGCCTTCCAGTGGGCCACCCCTCCATACTGCAGTGGCTGCTGGGAGAGAGTCACTGCCCCCCGCTCCTCCTACCCACTCATGTCCCAACCCCCAGCCCCGTCCCAGACCCTTTGTCCCAGCTTGTTTTCTAAGGATGCTGGGCAGTCTGGAGACACTGTTCTTGCCATCCAGTATGTAAATGACAGTCAGGAGATTGCTCAGGTGGTCCGCTCTTCTGACAGGCTCTAATTGGATCACAGGGCCGCTAGTGATGAAGGTAATTAGAACGGCATTTGAAAGAATGTTTTGTGCATTGTCTCCTGTTACTCACTGCAATCACTTGACAGCCTCTTGATAGAATGAAAGGAACCGTATGAAAAGTTCATTCAATTCATTTTGGATCTGAGGAGCTTGCATTTAGTTTGCATAATGTTAAATCATTTTCAGTTTATCATTACTTCAATTATTATTATTTTATCCAGAGACGAAAAACGAACGTTTTTGGTGCCTTTTTAACTAGTGCATTACCAGCTAATATATAACATCTGTTGTCACAATAAATCCTTTATTATACCTTAAAAAACCTTTCCTATAAGACAGCTATGTAAGCCAGCTGTAAAATGATCTTGTTCTGGTTCATTGTTCTGCATTAAACAGAAAATACAGCCAGACATGGTGGAGACCTTGTGAATTGAAGAGTTGTATCAAACCGGAACACTGCCAGTTAATGGAGTTTCTAGTCTGAGTAGAATCTATCAGATGAATGGTGGTGGCTGGCTGTGATTTCATACTGAGGAGCGACATGAGGTCAAGGAAGGAGGTCTAGAACATGGGGCCATGACAAGTCTGGAGGTTAGTTATAGAAAGACGAACACAAATGTACCTCGAAGCTAGCAACATTAGTTTTCCCCCACCACTGTCAAATCACAGTTGGCTGTGGTTTGCCATGGCCTTAGCTCTGCGTGACAATGACTTTTTACCATTAAATTGAAAACATTGAAATTGGAAAAGTGAAGTGTCGAGATCCTGTCAGCTCAAGTTGACTTGGTACAGATGGCGCATGGGAGAGGGAGTGTGAGAGGGGAGAAGGAGGGATCGAGAGAGAGAGAGAGAGAGAGAGAGGCAGACGGCGAGAAGGCTGAAAGTGTTGCCTTTGCTGATTACTTGACTCCACTGCTGTGCCATACGTCTGTGTGGGCTGTGCCCTGAACCTGCGCCAGCTGATTAACCCAGCGCCACTCCACTCCCCACAAGCACCCTCCACTGGCCCTGGCACAACCACAGCCACCCCTGCATAATCACCCCCATCCTGCCCGCCCTGCGCTGGGTGTAGACCTTGCCGTGCCACCCCGGGCCCTGGTACTGAACCGAACTACCTCTCTGACTCCTCTGCCTGTCTGAGGATACTACGCTGGGATAAAAGATCGGAACAGGAATACCCAGTTTACACCACTGCATGTTCTTTGGGAATATCAGCAGATGCCACCCACTTCTCAACATCGTTCTACCTTCTTGATGTTCCTTTCTTCTTGGGTTGTCCACTTTCACCGTTATCTGTGTGTCCTTCAGTAGAATGGCTTCCTCCTTTATGTATGTGTTGAAGATATTGTGTTGTTTTGGGGTTAAATGCCAGATCAGGCAGTGTTATACATTACACACAGAACAGAGGTGAGAATAAACAGAGGTAAAAGGGTTCAACTCTTGACAGCAGAATTACCTGTTGTCTCCTCACTCTCTGCAAACCATAATTAAAACAGCCTTGTGTCTGAGGAGCCATGACTCAAGTTCTCTCTCTCTCTCTCTCTCTCTCTCTCTCTCTCTCTCTCTCTCTCTCTCACACTCCTTCTCCTCCTTTTCTGTGTACAGAGAGCACTCAGCCATCAGTCTCAGACAGGACCCTTAGTTAAATACTAAACTACACACAGGTGGGACTGAAAAACAACAACAGCCTGAGACAGACACAGATTTACGATGGCCCGCAGCACTCAGCTGAGAATTGGCCTCCGCTCGAAAATGAACAAATTACACAGCACTCACCCCAACACAAATGTACACTCAAACACAATTTGAGAAATTATAGTTGGGAGGTTTCTCTGTGTAGTTTCTCTGGAGGTAAAGTAGTGCCAGAGCACACGCACGCGCGCGCACACACACACACACACACACACACACACACACACACACACACAGACAGGGCTATGCCCTCTGAAAGTGTCCCTCATCATTTCACTACACTATTTTCACTTGCCAGATCTCATTTGATAGAAGCTGTTGTTGTATGAAAGCCAGAGAGGAGTCATTTGATATGGCCAAATCACCCTGGGCTGCCAAAGAACTAGCAATCACTGCATTTGACTAGATCAACTGTCAACAGCCGATAAAACTCAGAGACAGAGAGAATACACAGGGAAATACTAATGATTAAACCCAACCCCCTTTCTCTTTCCCCATCCCCTCCCAACTTCTGTTTTCTTACAGGAATCTGACAGCAATAAAGTATGTTCCCTGTACTCCTTCCGGAATAACTCAACCTCCCCACACAAGCCTGAGGAGGGGGCCCGGGAGCGCGGCGACCTGCTGAGCGGATCTGCGTTCGGAACGCCGGAGCGCCGCAAAGGAAGCCTGGCCGATGTGGTGGACACACTGAAGCAGAAGAAGCTGGAGGAGATGACGAAGACAGAGCAAGATGGTAGGACACTAAGAACCTATGTGTTTGTGTGTGTGTGTGTGTGTGTGTGTGTGAGGGAGTGTGTATGAATGCTTCCTTTTTCAAATGGCGTCAAACTTTTTCTCTCTCTCTCTCCCTCCCTCTCTCTTTCTCTATCATTCTAGTTTTTTCTTTCCCACTCACTCTCTCTTTTAATTAAACACACACAAACGCGCGCGCACACATACACACATACACACAGACACACACAGACAGAGGCTGGGAGGACTGACGTGACTGTGTTTCCAGTTTGTTCTGAACCCTTTCCAGAGTGACAAAGAGTGGGTGGCACTACACCTCATCTTAAGTGTGGTCTCCCCCCACTGCCAAGGCAAACTCTCAGGCCGTAAAACACATGCCGCCAACCTGACGCCAGGAACATTACCTTTTCATTCTTCAACACAGAAAGCTCTTCACTAAGGGCAGCATTCATCAGTCAAAGTCAACTACACCTACAGACTAAATGAGTCCTCTCCTTGGCTATTAACAGGGATACCTGTGCCAATTTAATTAATTCAGTTTGCTGTATCATATAGTACGTAATTTCCTCACATATCAAATGCACTTAATAGAACTCTATTTCACCCTATGGTAGCCCTCCACTCCCTAGTCCTATATGTTATTTGACAGAACCCCACAGCACCTTCTGTCACCCCCCACTTCTCTCCCTCAGACTGCAGACTGTAAGGAGGACGCACAGCAGAAAAACTAATATTTGAAAGAGCCGCTACAACATTTCCCCCATTCTTAATTAGCACTGCACTAGTAGTATAGTGTAGTATCCAATCAGACTTGGAGCCCCCTGGGAACACTGGTGTCTCATTCAGCGTCTGGGGAGCCCTTAGCTTAAGCGCTACATCACACGAATAAATTAGACGTCCGTTCGTTTAAAAATAATTTGTCGCTTTCTTTTTTTTAAGTGTTTGTTTGGTGGTCTTTGCACAGTATCAGCTATCCTGGATTATTCAGTAGATAGCAATTCCGATCCCAATATTTTATTTTACAAATGTAAGTAGGTCATACAATTTCTAATATTACTGATAACAATATTAGATTTTAGCAATATTAGATACTAGATTTACGATAATTTCTACAGATTCATAATTTATTCTATTGTTGACTTATGTGTTTAATAGTAAAAACAGTGTCTTAACTAGTATTTCTTTGTAAGGTCTTCTTCCCCTGTTGTCTTAATGGTATCGTTAGTTTCATACCCTTGACTTTTCTGGAGATGATACCTTTCCCTCAGCACAGAGGACATCTCTCATGTGTCTCTGGTTTCTGATTGGGTTGTTTTCCGCGGCGGGCGTGCTCCTCTGAGCCCTCTCTGGCGAATGCGGGCGTTATGGTAATGAACCCCAGCTGGTGAGGGCCGGTTGTTGCAGTAATTTAAATGGTCAAGTGCAGCTCGTAATCCAGGGCCATATGTTAGCGCAGGGAGGAGAGAGTGCTTCAGCGTGCAGTACAGCTGTTTTAATCTCCTGTTAATAAAAGAGCCTGGGCCTGCCTCATGCCCCATGCATCAACACCACCAAAATAAACTCCCTTGTTGGAGGAAATTAGTTTCTGAGAACACAGAACAAGACAAGAGGCTCACGGAGTTCAATATGTCGTCTGTAAGCTGCTGGAATGGAGAGATTCAGTGTCCTTGTGGACGCTTGACACCAACTCCATCAGTAGAGTTGACTGTGTGATTACTGTACATCAGAAGGGATGGGACAGAGTAAGGCGTGTAGAGCAGGCGGGTAACTGTTGTTAACATTCATAATCTATGTCAGTGTTTATAGAGAGCCTCTGTGAGCGTCTTGAAAGGGCAGGATTAACCCATTAAGGGCATACCAGAAGGTTGGAGAGCCATTTGTTGCCTTAATGACCTGGCGAATGTAAGACAAAGCAGCGATGAGCTAAATATATCACTTATCTAAGCTATGCTATCATGAAGACAACTGTTCCTGCTAATCCACCCTGCTTTAGTCCCTTCACTGGTCTGGATCACTGGAGTCTTCAGAGCAGATCTAGACACCATCTGCTGCCATTATTCTGACTGAGTCCTCCCTGTTATGTCCCTGGTCAGGAATCTCATCTCATTGTGATGATGGTTCAAGACTGAGCTTGCTGACCTTCATGGTGGAGGGCATGAGAATCCTCTCTGTTACACATACTACAATGTAGATCCATTGGAAAATCAGACTTTGTATATCCTCTTAGATTCAGTGATGAATGAGTGAGAAAGTGTCATTTAGATAATTGTGTGGCGTTGTACTAGTCCAGAGGCCATATTTGATACTGAGCGATGTTAAAGCTGTGGACTGGGACAGAGAGCAGTCCTAACAGACGATGACAGAGTGAATCTCCTTCCGCCGGCTGGCCATATCTCTTTCAGTCCCCTAACAAAACGTTAATTAAATGTATATCGTCGTCAGGATTCGCTGCCCTCAAATCCAATCAGACGTAAGTTGACCGCAACTTTGCCTAACTGGACTGACATCTCAGTGCTCCGTGCCTGAACCCGACACAGTGGCCATACTCAGCGGCTCTCCCGCCCTCCCACCCCTCCTCTGTCCTCTCTGTCACTGGTCCTTAAAGTGCTTTAAGTGCTTGTGACTGCGCTAATGAATGAAAATGTCCTCCCAGCAGTGAGGACTGCATTAAGCTGAATAGCCACCTTAGCTGTAAAAGCTCTATTAGACTCAGTGGCCAGGAGGGCTAACGATTGTGCCCCATGTTTATTTACTAGGTATTGTAAATGCATTATTTATGGAGAGCTTTCCAGACAGCACTTGTCAAGAGTTAAAAATGTCAGTATAAGGTATTAAGGGAAAAAGAAAAATGGCCTCCATTATAAAGATCCAAGGTGACCTTGGTTGGATTCACATGCAATTAGACCGGCTTCCTATAATGCATTAAAGTATGAATCAATGGTTATAGGAGTCAACACTCTGTTGATTCGTTATGATTGTTCCCAAGACAAGGACAGGTGATAGGTGTGTTTGTTTTAGGGTGTTCCTTTGGGCTCTATACAGACAGGTTGAATCCTTGCCAGCACAACCAGCTCTGGATTGGATTTGCGTGCAGTTAATGAATTCCTAATGTCTCTTTCTATTGTGCATTGAGTGGCATGCTGAGACATGTTTTTATTATTATCGGTGGCCTGACGAGCACAATGCAATTTCGGTGCATGAGGCATGTCAGAAAGTGTGGTATAAGCGATTCAGAATACAATGCCTGTGGAATCTCTGGAAATGCACTCAAGCCGGCCAGATATTCATCTCCTTCTTTGTACTGAAACTATGTTACAGAGACTTGCTGCTTGCATCAGGGAATGTCAACACACAGGCATGCACGCACAAACAACACCTTTTTGCCTTGGCAGCAGTGTCGTATTGCCAGGAGTAGTTCTGGCTGCTGCTAAAAGCTTGTTATATTTTAATTCATGCTTATAGGCCGGCTAGACTGAATTACATGTTTCAGGCAGAAGCGTGGCAGGGCTGCAGGCTAACCCTAACCCCAACACTGACCTGGAATATTGAAACATGTTGTAGGTCTATGTTCCCTTATGGGCAAAATAGGCTTTTTAGATTTCAGGTTGCACTAGAGATTGCATAACATCTATCTTCTGATGTAACGGGCCTGCTTTTACAGTTCAACCTTGTGGTTGGCCTGTATAACAGTATACCGTATCCCACAGTGTTCCTATGATGACTGTAGCCTGTCTGTGGAGAAGAAGTGAGAAGGAGAGGTCGCTCCCCGTTGAGTTGGGTGTCCTGACCCCCTGGGAACAGGTGTGCATGGTGGAGGTCCTGTCTCAAAGGGTAACATGCAACCCTGGGTGACCTGTGACACTATGAACAGTTGCTAATGTGAAAGGGTGAGGACTTCTCCCCAAGGCAGCAACCCAACCTCCTTGGAGCTGAGAGGAGGTCCACACTCCACACTATGGTGCACAGGAGCCAGTCTATGGCCAACAAAAGCTAGCCGCATCAGTCAGAGTATCTGGTAAGCAGTGCACCTGGACCACAGCAAGGCCTATTGACTAATTACTGTACCAGTGGGAAGCAACAGCACCGTCATCAACAGGGACAATTCACCAAATCACAGCCTTCTTCTCTGAGGTGGTAGGATTTTTAAAGAGATCACACACTTCACCAGCAGCTGACCTCCACTGTGTGATATGAATGGTCAAATCATGTGCTGTTTAGTTGGGTGATCTGAACAATCACAGTCATAATGTATGTAATGCCAATCAGTAGATCTCTATCTCTCTCTCAATTTCAATTTCAATTGAAGGGCTTTATTGGCATGGGAAACGTGTGTTAACATTGCCAAAGCAAGTGAAGTAGATAGTAAACAAAAGTGAAATAAACAATAAATATTAACAGTAAACATTACACTCAGAAGCTTCAAAAGAATAAAGACATTTCAAATGTCATATTATGTATATATACAGTGTTGTAACAATGTGCAAATAGTTAAAGTACAAATGGGAAAATAAATAAACATAAATATGGGTTGTATTTACAATGGTGTTTGTTCTTCACTGGTTGCCCTTTTCTTGTGGCAACAGGTCACAAATATTGCAGCTGTGATGGCACACTGTGGTTTTTCACCCAGTAGATAAGGGAGTTTATCAAAATTGGGTTTGTTTTCGAATTCTTTGTGGATCGCTGTAATCTGAGGGAAATATGTGTCTCTAATATGGTCATACATTTGGCAGGAGGTTAGGAAGTGCAGCTCAGTTTCCAAGTGCAGCTCAGTTTCCACCTCTCTCTCTCTCTCTCTCTCTCTCTCTCTCTCTCTCTCTCTCTCTCTCTCTCTCTCTCTCTCTCTCCCTCTGCTTGTAGTTGTAATCTGTCTCTGGGCTATGTGTTATCCCAGTGTCTATGGCAGAGTTGCAGTGTGAGTGTGGGGGTGTAATCAGCATTGTGTGCTAAGGAAGGCCAGGGTCATTATCCTCTATTACGACAGGGTGTGTAATGAGATTCAGGAATGGGGGAAAGCTTTGGAAGAGAATAGGATCAGCTCCAAGCCTTTGGCCTGATTAATACTGATGAACTCATGACTTAGTCCTAACACAGTCTCTGTCATAATCCTGCTGTCTCAACCATGGAAGCTCACTGTAAAATTGGCTACAGGTGATTTGTACCATTTGAAATTGTATGCGTAATACAATGTTATTAGCCAAGCTCAGGATTTTTAGTAGAAAGGCATTTTCATTCATGACTACAGTATCTGGTTGTGTTCTTATGACCCGCTAAGAAATAATATAGTAGGAATAGCTCTCTCTCTCTCGTTCGCTCTCTCTCTCCCGCCTTCTTTCCCTCTCCCCTCTATCCAGCTGCCCTGTCGTCTGGCTCTGTTTTATCCCACCTAATTAATAGGAATCTTTGTTATAATGATCTGTGGCATGAGCCTCTGACTCGATGCATATGCAATGAGGCTGGAGACCCAGTCGCCTTTTTAATGTGTTGGCTGCTAGCCGAGGTGAACCTGTAGGTTTTGAGGCGCGCTTCAAACACTTAGCTCTCCTCTCCTCTCCTCTCCTCTCCCCAGTCCCCCAAACATCAGTCAACCGCTAGTTTCTGTCTTCCTCTCCTTTCCACTCGCACTGCATCTTCTTGTCTTCTCCTTTAATAATTGTCCTTCTCTTCTGTCTATCTGACTCCAACAACCTGCTTATCTTGATACAAGTGATATATTTGATCAGTGGCTGTT